CATCTTGTAAGAAATCTAGATCAGATCGGTGGCGGGCATCTTGTGAGAAATCTAGATCAGATCGGTGGCGGGCATCTGGTGAGAAATCTAGATCAGATCGGTGGCGGAAATCTGGTTAGAAGCGTTAATTATCTGAATGCAGAAACGAAACGGCGTGTTGATGAGTCCGGTATCTCGGAGAGGCAACACTTTATGCGAAATTTGGATCAGATCGGAGGTGGAAATCTCTTGAGAAACTTGGATCAGATTGGAGGCGGAAATCTTGTGCGGAACTTAGATCAGATCGGCGGTGGAAATCTCCTGAGAAGCTTAAATTGATTTTACAGCGATGCCTGATCATAGTGGATCAGTACAGAATAAGGAAAGGGATGTAGAACGGCTTAGAACTGATTGTAGAAAGCTTTTATATTGATTTTTAATCTTGCAACAGATATGGTACTTTTTGAGTTATAATTACCTAATATATTATGCATGTAAGAAATCAGAATTAAACAATTGTATTTAATAAATATACAACCAGGACGTGCAGTTTTGATTTAATTAAAATTAAATCCATCTCGTATAAAAATTAATGGAGTAATTCAGCTAAGAAAGAATATAAAGAGAATATTTTTTTTGCTTTTTACCATTTAACTTTATTCTAAAAAAATCATTTTCTCACGATATATTTTATGATAAAATATACTAACAATATGCAGGTTAACGTAACTTATAAAATTCACATTAAATTTGAAGATGATTTAAATTAAACCAAAGTCGGAAAATTCTCACATATTATATCTTTTATATTTCTTCTTCTTCCTCGTATATTAGGCCCTGTTTTATCCAGTTCGTCCTGATACTTTGAGTATTTGGTTTTACTTCATCTTCGGTAAGTTGCTAACCTTGCCGAAGGAAACCTCCAATCCTGTCCAGAGGGCTATCCCCCTAAAGGGATATGTGTGGTAGGGTACACTCGGTGGTTACCACTTTCTTTCGGGAGATTCCGAAAAAAAAAACAGCGGTGTCCATGGATTTAAACTCGGATCTTTTCGTTCATTTGTTTACTAAGCAGCGCGCATTTCTCTGCGCCGCACTCGCCACCTTTTTATATATCTTTGTCAAAATTTATTGTAAAATACATATATGTGTAATTTGTAAAATATAAAAATGTATTCTGCTACTTTGAAAAGGAACTTCTCGGTTCCAAATGTCCTCGCGGTATTCTACCAAATGTATGCATTGACTGATCATAAAAATCATCAAATATCTAATTATTTAATTATCTAGACAGGACAACGATAATTCACTCAATTCAACATTGCTATTATATTATATATATTTTTGTCATCGTCATTTTTGTTTTATTAAGTGGAAATATAATAAAATTTAACCTGGTGTGCCTGTTCTTTCAAAATTTTCGTTCTTTGATTTGTCTCGAATCTTTCATATTGTCTACAATCTTTCATTGGAATTAATATAGACATAGCTTTTTGAAATTTTTAAGGTATGGGCAGCCGCAATATAAATGGTGGCCATCTGTCGCGACAGGAACGTCGAGGGCTGGATTCGTTATCTGGAGCAACCTTTGGTGGAAACAAGAGGTTTACACCTTTTAGGTAAATTGTTATCGATACGCATGTTGGACCTGTGATAATAAAATGTGAGCCTTAAGCGAACAGCTCTCGTATTCCATTAAATAAATTTTTTCTGGAAATATTCTTCATTGCTTGCATTGAAGTACATCAAATAATTTAGAGATTATTTTAAACATACGACGTTTTAGATTATTTTAAACAAACGACGTTTTAGATTATTTTAAACAAACGACGTTTTGGCCAGTATTACTGGTCCTTCTCAAGTGTATCTTACGCCACACCTATCGATTGTTACAGCAAAAGATAGGAAGCATGTCGTAGTACATAAAAAATAAATATATATCCATCGAAATAATAAAAAGATTAATTACATCACTCCACACACCAACAGACAAATGTCTAGTCTTATACAAGTTCAAAGGAAAACTGTATCCTTGCGAAAAAAAATGGCAGCGACTTCTTTTTTTTTTTAATTGAAGAGGAAGGTTCGTACTTTATGTTCCTGTAAACAGTATCCCCGAAAAAAATGTAGCAAGTCCATGAACTCCGTCAAACTTTGTAATTTTCAATATAACAAACATGCCCTCACATTTAAGGTGTTACAGTGGTAGGGATGCATCACACCTAAAAAAGAACTGTAGTATCTTAAAGTAGAGATTTCAAGCTTTAATTTAAAAAAAAAAGAACATAATTTTACGATGATTTTTCGCGGAGTTACCGTCAGTCAAAGTTGACCAATTTTTGCATAAAAGTTTTCTACGCCATATTTCTTTTGAGCAGTGTATATACAGGTACATATTTCTTTTTAAATACAGTTTATATTAATTTCTTGGTTTAGTTTTATTAAATATATATATAAAATATATTATATTTATTATAGTTAATGTTTTATTCTCTCTTTCTGACCCAAACACACACACACACACACACACACAATAATTAAATTATTTTAATTTCTAAAAGTTACTTCTAAAAATATCCAAACGGAGAAGAGATTTGGTACGATATAACATCAGCTGGTATTATCTAGGAAATGCAGTCAACAATTTGGAAAGAAATGATTTAATCAGAAAATAATGCGAATTTAAGTAATATTTATGTAGAGAATTAATCAGTATTTTTATTGCGAATTTAATTAGAATTTATATTGTGACTTAATATACGTAAATTCAGTGCGTTGATTAAATCTCACTCTTCAATTAGTTTTAAAATGTTGATTCGCATACGCAAAACATTTTATTTGCTTTCAGAGCCGTACAATCTTTTCTATGTAAAACGAGACGAAGCACCTTTGAATCTGCTCCGAAATTACTTCTTGAGTCTGATTGGAAAACGTTTTGCTGGATTTTATTTCAGCTTTGCAAATTTTTATTTCGGAACTTTATTTTCAAGGAAATATTGCGATGCGATTTTTTCACGATCGTAATAATTCTCGGTATAACAAAAAGAAAAAAATTATCGAATTGCCAATTATTCGCTATACAGGACAAATATAGAGCTCGCCGCGTACTTTATTTTTTCCCTCGCGGTCTCGTCACTTTTATACGTATTCACTGGCTGTTCCGACGATAAAATCACCACGTGTCGTTTATTCACATGAACGGACGTATACAAGGGGATTGATTTCCTTACCAAATTCGATATACTCGCTTTTTTTGATCGTGTTACCCATTGGTATAGCTCTACCATAAACGCTACCTTGATTGTCGCCTTCCCACTCAACCTTTCACAAATGTCAAACTCGACGAATATCCCTGTATATATCTACACTGAAAAAAAATTTTCGCTACCATAGCTAATCATGACTTGCTAAAAATATTTTGCTGCCATAATTATAAATTTCTCAACCACAGCAAACGATTTGCTGTCCGTCCTAATGCAACAGGCACGGTAGCAAAATATTAGCTATCACAACTAAATATTAGCTGTCCATATTTAACAACTGGAATTTAGTTACAACACGCAGGTTTTAGGCTGCTGCGGCAGCTACATTTTTTTCCGTGTAATACCCGATATCACTGAAAAGTAAATGAAAAGACACTATTAGAAAGACACGTGTGCAGAGATTGCAATTGTGCAATCCTTCCTCGTGGCTACTTATCGTCGTCGACATCTCTTTTTCAAGTTTTCTGATATCCAACTGCGACTATTTGTAGGTATTAGTAAAGGACTATTCGCGAGTGATACCCTAGTAACGCAATATACTGGCGCAATATTGGGAAATAATTGTAAATCCTAGTATTTCCAATATTGGTTTAATATTGTAAGATGGACGCCGTCTCTTATTTAGCCAATATGTCTATTCAGCAATATTGGTCCAATA